AATTCTACATGCGGAAAAAATGAAGAGAATGCTAAACCACCCACTACACGAAAAATTGGCAGCCAGGACAAAAAACCGAATAAAGCCCACAAGCCTAAACCATCTAACTAAGGAATTTGGAAAGTCATTCTCTTCACTACTTAACCAACAATGTACACCTGAAGAGCTATTTCTTGATCTTTGAGACTCTGAATTATTGACATTCAATGTGTCAACATCCATCCTGAACCTGGGAAACAAAGATGCTGAGCCCGCTTTAGTAAAGAAAGCACTCACAATGGAACACCTCAACAACATGTTCCCACAGGACAGCTGGACGAGAATCTACACGGATGGATCAGCAAAAGAGGCAACTACGAATGGTGGGGCAGGTGTTTACATAAAACACCCAGATGCCACTACTGCGTCCCTGGCAGCCCCCACTGGACGAACCTGCTCTAACTACAAGGCAGAGCTCTCAGCCCTTTTGATGGCAGCACAGTATATGAACAATCTGCAAATTACCACAGGCAGGATAGTTTTTTCCACAGACTCACTGTCAGCTATACAGGCCCTTGAGTCCAAACCTACCGACAGCACACTACAAAGTCTAACAAAGGAACTTGCTATGTTGTCAAAAAAAGGCAGAAATTCACTTGCAGTGGATTCCATCTCACTGTGGCATCAAAGGCAATGAAAGCGCTGATTCTTTAGCCAAGGAAGGCAGTAACAAACCACAGACCTACCAGCCACTATCTTTTCCAGAAGTCAAAACTCTCATTAAGAGAAAATCAGAAACAGATTGGAAAACCAACACTGGTTATAACTACGAAAAAGATTTTCTAAAACACTTGAACAGAACAGACCAAGTCACAGTTTTTCGCTTACGTACTGGACACTGCAGACTCAATAAACACTCACATAAATTAGGTATGAGCATAGATCATGACCCTATTAGAATTCCAGAAAATAACCACACACACCAAAGTATTTTTTTTTTCAAACACATGTCACTAAAAAGGTTAGTTGCGAATCCTTTACAGGACGTTGTAGAACCAACCCCAACACCCCCTGGCTGTTGCGTGGTTTCTCTAGGCAAATTTACGTCCAGTAGTTTGCCATTTCTCACCCTCTTGTGCATCCTTTTGCTCTTAAATTAACCTAATTGTTTTATTTTACTCTTTCTATATAATAGTTATGTTTTTAGTTAATATAGTTACAGCATGTATTAGTTTCAAGAAACAACCACACTGGAAAGAATGAGTTAAGAGAAAGAAGTCTGATACTGAAATATGTGACATCAAACACCAAGATGTCTCTTTAATATAATGTTCTTCCTGCAGTATATCTCCCATTCATTCATCATTCCTTTATGGGTTCCAGGGTGGGGATGGAGTTGAGAGAATGGACACTGCCCCTCAACAAGCATGTCATAAAGTGTTTGCTGAATCTAGTCCAGTGTCTTCAGGATGTGTCCAGTATGAGGACACCTTTGTCTTATATCAGTTAACAGTGATTACTGGGGCAGTTTTCTTTTTTCTTCACCACTTTTGAATTCATCCCACTTTATGTTCAACATTCTCCTCAGGAATTTGTTTTCAAATAAATTGAATCTTCTTTCTGTGTTTTTAGTATTATTACACTAACAAACACATTTTTTTGATAATTCATCTGTTGATAGAGTTCCTCTTTATGTCTCTACAGCTCAGAGTTTATAATTTATTCGGTTGGTAAATGCATATTTCTGATCTGTGTACCAAAAACGGTCCAGCAGAGCATGTTCAGCATTGGTTTGCTTGCTAAGTTTAGTTAACATATTATTAGTTATGAATTAGTTAGTTAGTTGGGTTATCATCATTGCACTCCGGACATGTCCATAGGTGCTCAGATCCTCCCCTCGGTATGAACCCCAACGTCCGATGGCTAATAGTACCAGTTCTATGTTGATTAACATGTCGTCTGGTGTGCGTATTGTTTTTTGCTATGCCGATCTAAATTCCCAAGTCTGCCATTCTGGCGAGTGATGTGGATTCACTGCCCCCAAAGTCCTCTATCCTTCCCATTTCTCTGAGGAAATTAATAATATCAGCATGATCCATAGGCTGACCGTCGGTAGTGATAGCGGATCTCGCCAACCTGTCAGCTCTTTCATTTCCATCGACGCCTGCGTGTCCCAGAACAAAAATAAAGGTGACTCCATGCACAGTGGACTTCTGTAATGTTATGAATTAGACAAAGCCAAAGAATTTGTTTAGTAAGTCTATTGTGCCTCAAACTGAGGCAACGAATGGTGACCCATCCCTACCATATAATCATGTTATAGTCATCATTAGTTTGATTCTTTACTTTTCTGTTTGACCCTTTCCTTTTCCTGCAGTCGTTACATAAATAAATTTGTCTGCTGTCTACAAAGTAAATGCTGTCCGTCTGCTGTTTTGTTATTTGGAATATTAAGTGATGAAGCTGGAGTCACTTCCATGATGCTGTTCTCATAGCACTGTCTGAAAGCTGCATCTGATTATTTCCATTTATGTTAACTCAATAGATCCTTGTTTCTTAATTCTATATTTAACAGTGGGAGAACTGAGTACCAAACAGCAACAATGAATCGAGTTAGAAGAAGTGTCAAATTTGAACGAAAACCTAGTCACAGATACTCTCGAAGACCAACATTTGAGAGAAAGGAAAGGGAAGAAAGGATGAGAAAAGAGGCAGAGATGAAAAAACAAATGGAAGAAGAAAGAGAAAGGTAAGATTTTCACATTGTTTGATTACCCTTTCATTTATTTTATTTTCCTTTTCCCTGTTTTAATTCCCAGCACCAGCCAAATTGCCTTTCCCTTATCTTAATTTTACATTGTGTTAAATCTGTAATATTCTTCCTTCCCTTATTGATTGCTTCTGTCTTTTTTTTTTAATCGTTTGTGTATGTGTGTGTGTGTGTGTGTGTGTATATGTGTGTTTATACATAAGTTTAGTCAATACTTCTAGGAGGTGAATATAGTCAATAGAAAGATAAGTTGGAAAACCAATACTGATTTTGTTAATTTTTCATATCTTTAAAGAAATTGGCAAGTGGGTTAGCATAGTGACCAGACACATGTCTGTCAGTCCATATGTCTTGGGATTGACTCAGCATCAAGTCAGATTTTTTTTAAACTGACCTTGGTTTCCAGGTCAAACCATCTTAAAACAGGAATGTCCTGGGAAGTAAAGATGGTTGGTGTTATGTTGACCACATCACCCATTTAATGCCAAATGGTCTATAACAAGTCTGGCATTATATGCTCAAAGCACAGCTGGGTCTTTTATTGTAATTAATTACCTAAAATAAACTATTTAAATAGCGACTACAGTTTCGACAATTTGTGGTCTTTTTGGCAATTTCCGTTACCATGGAAACCGTTTGAAACTTGTTTGGGAAATGGTTTCGGGATGGGTCCTAATCTCTCATGAAATTTTGCGATTGGTGTGATTTTCACCAGCTATGAATAGCCGAAAACGGCGGGAATGAACCCGATTAACAGCACATGTCTACGACAGCCGGACGTCCTCTGTTTTTCTATTGCATCAGTTTGATTGAAAATAGCGCTAAGTATTCACGGTTGGCTTTAAGGCCTTAAATATTACCAGACATGGTAATGCTAGTTATAATTGAATTCTCCGTCCAATTTTACATTTGTGTATAAAATTACTTTCTTATCTGTGGCTGTTTTGATTTACAGTGACATTTTTCATGCAATCGCTATTATGTGGCTGTGTCTGAGAAAAATTGTCTGCCATCTTGTCCAATGAAAACAAAGTCACAGCGAAAGTTGCGCAGTTTGGTTGCGCAGAGAAAACTTCTTGTTTCTCAGACACAAGTTTTAGCAGCTGTTTTTTACATCTCATCTCCACAAAAACCTACATATCTCAGCTCAGAAATGACATACAAGCCTAAATGAGGTACCGTTGGAAAGAGATTGTTTACAGCTATCTAACTGTGCTGGTTTTATTGGTGTTTATAATTTTAAAAATTTGACTAAAGTACCTAATTTAAATTTGTTTTCCTCAGCTTCCATTATGTGGTAAAAACAAATGTTAAAAAAATGATCTTTACTTTCTGGCGACCCCCTCTTTGTGCCCGATTAAGATGGAAAGAAATTAAACTGAACAAAATGTACATAATCAAGCTTCATAATATTGACCTGAGAGCTTAGGTTAGTTTGAAATTAAATTTCCTTGCTTCTGTGGGATTCTAACACCTATTACTAGGATGTCAGGCAACTCTAATAGCCACTTGGATTGTACGACTATCAATAAGTGATTTATTGAGCACACTTTTTGCACTAATTAAATGCAGGATACAGTGAACATATATGAAGATGCAGAGGTACTGAACTACATCTGTTAGTGCCCTGGTGGCAAGGTTCATACTGGTCATAATCTGTCTATACCTTTCCCTGCGGACCTGACCAGTGTTGCTCTGATAAACATTTCTTTTGACGATGGAGTGCACTTGTCTGGGAAGTGAAAAACGGACACCCTGAACAGAAATAAACCAGTTCTGTAATATAGATGTGTGCATAAAACTCAAGTCCTTGAATGAGACTGAAGCCTAGAGTTGGACAGAGCATTACACATGATGAAGAAGAACAAATGTAAACTGCTTGTCATTGTACTTTTATTTAAATATCAAAATAAAATTAATATCACTGATGTAATGAGATACACATTGTGCAACACCTACACTTTAGGTTGGGTCTAGTTCCCCATAAATGTCACTTTTATGAGTGTCCATACAATTTTCCCATGAGCCTCAGTGATAGAGGTCACAGGGGAGACAACATAAGTCATCCGATACATATATTAGTTCCTAAAGAGTCCCTAGAGTCTTATTAATTTATTTTATAATGCCTGTTAACTGCAGTAAACTCTATTTTTAGCACCAATTTGTCATTTTTGAGTCATAAAGAGGATGTTAAGGGTGTTTAATGTGTTGCTGCTAACACAGACTACAGTATTTCTGTTTCTGCCTAAAGGAGAGCAGTCAAAGCAGCCACAAGAGCCTCTGTAGAGACAACATTTGATGCCTTACCAGACAGTTCTCGAGCTTCCATTAGAAGCACTTCTACAACAAGATCAGCAGCAAGATCAAGCGTCCGATCTCCAGATAGCCCTCCTCCTCGACCGCCTAAACCAGGTGTCAGAAGAAGTGCAAAATCTAGTTATGCTTCTTCGGACATAGCAGATGATGATCTGAAAATGACACCTTCTGCTTCAGCTTTGGAGAGACTGGACAACTTGATTAAGTCCTCAGCTTTTGAGAAAGGTTCAGGGGAGTGTTCTGTTGATGGAAATACATCGGCTGATGTCGACAGTAATATAAATTTGAAAGGTTTGTACAGTCGAAGCATTTGCATGTGTTAGAAGTTGTGGATAAACATGTCATGTGAGGTTAGTTTATAACTGTTATTGTGATCAGTCAATGTGCATCAGGTTCCTATCATTGGAGATTAACAAAATAAAAGTAAATTGCATTGGTCTGTTTGAACCTATCGGTGGGACGTAAAAGTAAGGGAAGTTAAAACCTCTCTTCAGGCCTCAAAGACCTTACAGAATGAATGTATCAAGAATTGACATCAATGCACTCTGCACATTTCCATGCATGCTACCTCCCCTTCTCCAGTAACCAGTAAAGAAATGACATGCTAATAGTACCAGTTTTAACCTGATTTAAAAGTCCACCTTTGTTTCCACTTCAGTGTTGAATCTCTTCTAGAAACTCTACACACCGTCTGATGAATTAGTCTTTCACTTAATGGATTCTCTTATCTTTTTTTTTTTTTTTGGTGGTACTGACTATATGGTTTGATATGAATAGACCTTATTAAAGACTACTGAAATTGTTTTGGACAGCCACAATGAGTAATGTGCTGCTCGCCACTGGGATACCATATCTACAGTAACATAATTCTAGAATGTCATTATTTTCTTTCTCGACTCCAAAAATTCAACTATTTTGTTTTCCTGTAACATTCAATTTTGAAACCTTAGTGTTCTTTTTTTAGTGATTACAATTTGATCTGTGATGTGCATTATATTGTCAACAGAATGAATATTGCAGTAAAAACACAGCCATAATTTATTAGTCCCCTCATCAGGTGTAATAACAAATAAACATAATAATATCCAAACAAGCACTTTTATTATGTTATAAGACAAAGAAGTGGGGTGATATATTTAGAACATCCTAAGGAAAGGTGGACAGAGAATCACAAAACAGGCGCTAAAGTGGGAAGCACATTAACTGAGGAAATAAAGACCTCTAAGAGTTACCGTAAAACAAATGTTAATGAGACAGTCTAAAAAGAGTGGATTACTTATGGTATCGCCGCGTCCGTGGCTCAGGTGTTGCGAGTTCGATTCGTAATTCCAGCATACTGCGATCGAAACCCACTGCTGGCTGTGTGAATTTTTATCGTGGTATGGGCGTCGCAGGTCGACCCAGCCTAAAATGGGTACCAGGATGGCTGTGCTGGGGAAGTAGAGAGGGCCGGTGTAATGCTGACCACATACCCACCTAGTGCTGATAATCTGAAAAAAGTATGGGTGCTCTTCCCATCTACCTGATGAGCCAAAAGGTGTGAAAAGGGATCTTTACTTACTTTACATCATGGTATCAGGCAGATTGCACACAATAGAATGAAAAGAATAGACTAGAATGATCTTGTTCCATTTTTGACTTGATAAACTATATGATGGTATATAAACATATTTTAATGCAATAATTCTCTAAGCTTTACGACTTTTCACCCTGGTCCCAGAAGGTTAGATATCTGACACACTTTTCACCATTGCCCAAGATGATATCTAGTACCCTTTAGACCCTTGTCCGAGAAGACTAGATATCTAACACACTTGTAACCCCTGTTAAAGATGACTAGATTTCTAACACACTTTTCACCACTGTCCAAGATGACTAAAGATCTAACACACTTTTCACCATTGTCCAAGAAGACTAGATATCTAACACACTTTTCATTGTTGTCCAAGAAGACTAGATATCTAACACACTTGTAACCCCTGTTAAAGATGACTAGATATCTAACACACTTGTAACCCCTGTTAAGGATGACTAGATATCTAACACACTTTTCACCACTGTCCAAGGTGACTAAAGATATAACACACTTTTCACCATCAAGAAGACTAGATATCTAACACACTTTTCACCATTGTCCAAGAAGACTAGATATCTAACACACTTTTCACCATTGTCCAAGAAGACTAGATATCTAACACACTTTTTACCATTGTCCAAGATGACTAGATATCTAATACTCTTCTCCCTTGTCCAAGGTTACTAGATATCTCACACTTTTCACTTTTTTCCAAGAAGTCTAGAGATCTTACACACTTTTAACCCTTGTCCAAGAAGGCTTAGTGGTCCTTCATATCAGGTCTTCCTCTGAGCATGGGGTTGGAGTGTATAGAGTGTGCCTGGATCTTGATCCCTCCATGCCTGTCTGCAGATATGAAGTTAATCTTGCACACCCTGCTAATATCTAAATTTGGGAAGAGGACATATATGTTTGTAAAGATGGTGCTGTCTTATTGGTTTGGGATGAAAGTGCCATCGTCACATTTGTGAAACACGCAAGCCCTTTTCAAATTACCTGCCAGCAGAGTGTTCTTTAGTCTTCTGATGCCAAGTCCACCTACTCACTACCAGTTAGTTAGACTACCCACAAAACAGCCTCTTCACCAACCACTCAACTACCTACCAGCCAGTCTTATCTACCAACTGGTGTGCCCACCAACCACTCATCTACAGACAACCAGTCATCTACAGACAACCAGTCATCTACAGACAACCAGTCATCTACAGACAACCAGTCATCTAAAGACCAACCAGTCATCTACCCAATAACCAATCACCTACCCACAAATCAGTCATCTACCCAACAATTACTCTGCCAACCATCTAGTCATCTACCCAACAACCAGTCATCTACCCAACAACCAGTCATCTACCCAACAACCAGTCATCTACCCAACAACCAGTTACCAACCAATCATCTACCCACCAACTAAAATGATTACATAAACATGTGAAGCATTTGGTTTTATTTGAACTCATCTTTTCCATTTCATTCATTTTTTTGGAAGCTTTTTAGTCACATTTTATTGTGTATTACCCACTAACCAGTCTGCTGACTAGCTAGCCAGTTCACTACGGGTGCCTTAAAAAAAAAGAGACATCAGCATTCTTTTTATTACTCACTTTTACATCGGCAGAAGATTACTCCATTAACATAAAAAAATTTCAAAGTTATGTGTTGTGTAACTACTTTCAACATTTGCCATTGCTTTCAGAAGAAAGTGAGAAAGCCATCAGTAAAATAAAAAACTTGGACGAGTCAGTACCAGTTGCAGTAAAACGCAAGGATGTGAACACCTTCCAGAACAACCAGCTCAAGTTTACAGGGGGCGCATCAGCAATACCACCAGAGAACATGAAATGTAATATCCTCAAAGCCAGACTGGAAGAAGACTATAAGAAAGGTGCTCTTTTTGTAATCAATTATTTTTGCCTTTTATTGAGACTTTAGCTTTTCTGTGAAATTCATAAGTACATTATTTTCTTATAGTTTTTAGATTGCACAAACCTTGTCATGTTTTTCAGTGAGGTGCTTCTGATATGTGAGTTAGTTAGTCAACGGATTATCCTCAGTGCCCATGGAGCTATTCAGCACAGTCAGGGTGGGGGGTAGGCATGTTTACAGATTTTACTTGGGGCAAGTCTTCTGACAGTATTTGGCTGTTGTATTTTCCATTGTAGATTAAAAGGACAAAACTTCCTCACCGGCTACTGAGTTGAGTGCATGGCCTGACACTATGAGCTATGGTATTTCATTCGAAATGCTTCTCAACATGGCTTGTATTCACTGTGGATTAGGCGAGTGGCCTGTTGCCACAGAACTAGTGGTGCCTTGTGCAATTAAATTATATGTGCAACTACTTATGTGTTGTAATTGCTGATTTATGCATTAATATGTGAGTGTACTACTAGATTTGCTGAGACTGCAGCCTGTGTCAATTTTTCCACAGTGGACAGCGAGGAACATTGTTTGTGGTTTTTGTTGGCACAAGGGCGGGATTACTATGAGGTGACCCGTTTCCTACGAAACTGCAGTTACAACAGTCTTCTCAGTGCTCAGTCTACAAAGGCTCAGGTGGCTGGGTAACACCTGGAGATTGGAGGATGGCAGAGTCGCTAAGGGCATCCTTGATGGTGAATTAAAGACGGGTTAAAGTGTTGACGCTGACCTTTACTATGATATAAACATGTGTCTAGTCAGGACACAAATGATACATGTATTGAAGTAGACTCATGGGAACAAATAGCCATTAATGGTGTTGTGTAAAGGCACACAAATGAGGGAATTCTAATGAAGGAAGGAATGATTGCAGAAAAGATAGGCGCTGAGCATCTGAGAAGAAACAGACTAAACACAAATGTTGACATTTGTGGTCCTGAAATCCTATTCTATAATTGTGGAAGGGTCATATCAGGAAAGGAATGAGATTGAAGCAATAAATGATTGCAGAAAGAATAAGAATTTAGCATCTGAGAAAAAAACAGACGAAACACATATGTTGACAACAGTGGTCCTGAAATCCCATTCTATAACTGTGGAAGACTTTTCTCAACACGGGCAGGTCTTGCTAATCACACTGCCATTACCATCTGCTGTGAGTTCCATGCTTTCCTCATAGCACAATATAACACTATCGTCTGGAAAGATGGAAAGGTGCTAATCAGTCATAAATAATTCAGTCCATCAGTGCTCGGATCCCCCTCTCAGTAAATCCCATTGTGTAATGACCGATGACATTTCTTAAGTGTTCCAGAACCAGTCAGTTTACATTGCTCGCTGCCAAACCCCATCAGACCTCAAGTTTGATTTCAGGTTATTCCACCAGGAGTGTTTTTTTTTCAATCAGACCTGTTTTTTTTATTTGTGCTTCAGATCACTCCATAAGGCCTCAAGTATTTTTTGAGATCATTATGTCAGATATGAGGTTAATTTCAGATCACTCCACCAGGCCTGAAATGTTATTTCATATCATTCACTAAAACCACCTACTTGGTTGTGAACTGATAGATGACAAGCTGGATGTTGTGAGGGCCCTTTAGGAGCGAGTGAACAGTGCCGAGGCACAGATAGATCATATAGTCTGAGGAGAATTGCGCTGCGAGGAGTTACAAGGGGGATCTGGCCGATGCTCAACACTCAGGGGAAAGGCGGGACAAATATACAATCAGACAGATATTGGTACCATCAGAATTTTAACTCTTCGCTTGTTGCTAAAGATGGGGACGGAGTGCTTATGATGGTATCTTGAGTGCTGTGATTTTGATTCTTTATTCACTAAATCTTTAGGTTTCATTACATTTAATTCCACCAGGCCTCAGTTATTTTTTCAGGGCAGTCCTCGGGTTTCGGTTTAAATAAGCCCATTAGGCCTGAAATGTTATTTAAAATCATTCAGTCAGACCTCAGGTTTCATATCAAACCAGTCCGTAATGTCTGAAGGTTTATTTTAAGTAATTTAGTCAGACCTCAGGTTTCATATCAAACCAGTCCGTAATGTCTGAAGGTTTATTTTAAGTAATTTAGTCAGACCTCAGGTTTCATATCAAACCAGTCCGTAATGTCTGAAGGTTTATTTTAAGTAATTTAGTCAGACCTCAGGTTTCATATCAAACCAATCCGTAATGTCTGAAGGTTTAATTTAAGTAATTTAGTCAGACCTCAGGTTTCATATCAAACCAGTCCGTAATGTCTGAAGGTTTATTTTAAGTTATTTAGTCAGACCTCAGGTTTCATATCAAACCAGTCCGTAATGTCTGAAGGTTGATTTTAAGTAATTTAGTCAGACCTCAGGTTTCATATCAAACCAGCCCATAATGTCTGAATTTGTATTTAAAGTAATTTAGTCAGACCTCAGATTTCATATCAAACCAGTTCATAATGTCTGAATGTTTATTTAAAGTAATTCAGTCAGACCTCAGATTTCATATCAGATCGGTCCATAATATCTGAAGGTTTATTTAAAGTAATTCAGTTAGACCTCAGATTTCATATCAGACCAGTTCATAATGTCTGAATGTTTATTTAAAGTAATTTAGACAGATCTTAGGTTTCATTTCAAATCACTCCACCATGCCTCATTTATTATTTCAGATCATTCAGTCAAACTTTAAGTTTCTTGTCAAATCACTCCATTGAGTGTTTCTTCAGATTATTCAGTCAGATCTCAAGTTTCTTGTCAGATCACTCAATCAAGTGTTATTTTAGATTATTTAATCAGACCTCGTTTCTTGTCAAATCACTCCATCAAGTGTTGCTTCAGATTATTCAAACAGACCTCTAGTTTCTTGTCAGAATACTCCATCAACTATTATTTCAAATCATTCAGTCAGACCTTAAGTTTCTTGTCCGATAACTCCATCAAATGTTATTTTGAATCATTCAGTCAGACCTTAGGGTCTATGTCAGATTACTTTGTCAGATCACAGGTTTTATTTATAAAAATCTTTGTACTGTGTACCTTAATAGCTCAAGGATGATGAATTGCAGTTTCATAAATCCAACATACAAATAATGCATTTTCGAAGAAGATTTGCAACTAAATAACCTTTATATCTATTATTTTGTTAGATTTAAAAATGAAATTTTGTAGTAAATGAAATTTAATTGTAGTAATAGTATGTTAGCTTAGATGTCAACTGATTCATTCAAAAAACTTGTGTAGAGATTCTTGAGCATACCAACCCACTATAAATATATCTTGCTGTCTGTAGATTATTTCTGTGAAGTTGTGGTTCCCACTTATTGTCCACTTTGTGTAGCCAAGTATACACCAAGCAATTGTGAAAACTGTAGTCAGTTTTGAAAAAAAAAAAAATGTTTTCAAATAAACTGAAATGTTTCAATTTCTGATTTATTTTCTAAGGTGCAGAAGATGACAAAGAATCTCATGACAGGTAAGTAAATTATTGTAAATTGAACCCATAATTTATGACTTAAATTTCCTTTTTTTTTTAAACTTAAATTTTCAATAATTTGCTGCAATATTTGAAACATGTGAATCTCATTAGTACCCACATGAACCAAAGCAGAGACCACTTTATTATAAAGTAATTAATGATTTGTTTTGCAAGATTATTCAAATGTTTAATAAAACGTTTGTAGAGATGAGATACTGATGACTTAAAAATTCATTTTGCTATGCAAGCACATAAAACCTCAAGCAGTCATGATAGTGAGTTGAGTTCAGTCAGGAATTGACATCACAGCACTCGGAGCATTCCCAAACGTGCTCCGCCCTCATCTTCCTGCAGCCAGCGCAGAGTTCCAAGACTGATGGTACCGGTCACAATCTGGTTATATGTCCATCTTGCCTTTCCTTTGAGCGTAGTAAGCCAGCCAGACCCTCTGGTTACACACAAGTTCCTCATTCTCTCGAGGCAGTCATTATAGTGATTCTTTAAGATGTATTTCAAAAACTTTTTTAATTCGGTAGAACAATTTTTCCCCAGTTTTACACAGAGAAACTGATAAAGTTTTAAAAAACAACTTTAGCTGTGAAAGTTTCAGCAGCTTGTAGTACCCATAATAAATTATTGCATTCATTCATTGTGTATAGTTTAGGAGCTTTTTATTGAACACTTCTTTACAGTGATACATACAGAGGTATGTTTATTTTAGCAGTGTAAATATATACATATAGTTTATCATACACACAAAGATTTAGTACTTTTAATCATACACTCAGAAGCTGTAAGTTTATTTTAATTATATCAGTAATACCTACAGCTGTAAGTATAATAATTTAGTTGATACACATAGGTGTAAGTTCATTTTATGATACAGCTAACAATTTATGGTAAGACACACAGATGTAAAAGTAAGTTTCATTTAATAATACAAAAATAGATACAAGCTTATTTAAGGATACATTTACATGTTTGAATGAAACAAACACAAAAAACATTAGCGAAACTTGTTTTAACATATAAATGTGTTTGTAAATTTATTCAATATGTAATACACAGAAATATAGATGTAAATTTGTTTGATTTGTAATACAAGCAAAGATAGGAAAACATATATTTATTCAAAGTGATGTGCATTTATTTTTATCTTCGGCAGCAGATTGAGATCACTTGTTACAAATATTAATTTCTTTCATAGAGCTTTTTTAATCTTTTGATTTAAGGTTTGGTAGCATTTATTATATTTTTGCTTTGCTAAACTGATGCACACTCACTCATGCTATACATTTCTTTACTTAATTTTATTGCTACTATATAAACATTGACTAAAGAAGTAGTTTGAATCACTTATTGCAAATATTAGTTCTTTTAATTAAGCTTTTTAGTTTTTAATTTTAAGATTTGGTAGCAAGTATTCTTTTTTTTTTTTTTTGCTTCACTAAACATTTAAAAAGATGCTAGAACAATTTTATATGATCTAAGACATTTGTCTTCTTTTTCTTCACATTCACTAGCTGCAAACTCTTGGCAGAAAAGTTCTAGTTGTTCATCCACTTCTGGACTTTGCTCTTGTTCCAGAACTGAGCTTTGCATGCACAACCGTTTTACAAATCTGACTTTTTTGTATGCAGACTGTTCTGTTGGCTTCTTCTCTCTCAGGCACATACAGTCTGACTTTGAATGACACATGCCTGATTAGTCGACTTTTATGACATGCACGTTGTGGGACAGTGGGTCTATTCTTTTTCCCCCACCACAATGGGGTCCCAGAACCCCCACAAGGACAGACAGTTGTAAACCAAAACTTTTTCTTGTGACATTGGTTATAATTCTGGTCTTGGGCATCAGGCAACACAGGATATTATCTTGTGTCAAGTAAAACACATCAGATTTATTAAAGGTAGCATAAAAATATAATCTGTACTCTGTAATCAGGTCATGACAGTTCCAACTTCATAGCAAATGGGTCACCCCATAGTTGCTTCATTCCTGTGCGAAAGAAGACCACATAGAATGCCCTTAGTGCCAAGTTTTTAGAGCCATGATTTGATTTATAGTCAAAGCAGGAAAAACACCTACTGCTAATGTACTTTTTGAGAAGAATATAGTTGACTGATAGAGAAACAAATGAGACAGATTGACAAGATTGATGCAAAAAGAGCAACAGGAAGGCAAAGTCATATGGCTTGGTCAGATAGAGGGGCCAAGACCAGAAAACTGACCCATCTGTGTTTATGGTGATCATGTGAGATGACAAAACATGACAGCCTGTGCTTATCTGCACAGTACATGATAAGGATAATGAATATTTTAAGTAGCTCATGGAGACATATGAGTGTCAGTTTGAATTCTACACTTATGCAAAAGGTAGGTAGGTAAGTTGTACCCTGCCAGGACATCACATGAGCGATAAACACCCAGTGACACTAGGTGTCACCATGCGGATAAGGATCACTGCTAGAGAGGTTCTGAAAAACCCGTTCAGCCATTAGGCCATATTTAAGGACCGGCTATAGGACTTATGCAAAAGGAATAGATCCAGATTTTTAGTCTTTCTTCATCCACACACTTTCACATAAATAGCAGTAAGCTCAAGCTCTAAAATTTGCCAATTTTGTTTATAAGAAGAAATTGGCTGTTACCATATTCTGTCATGTTTATTGCTATATAGCTGCTAGCTTGCCAAGAAGGTCTTGTGGGCGCATGCGATTCAGAGACATTTTTTAAAATAATCGAGTGAGGGCTTCCACTTAACCCAGTCCAAAATAGGTACCAGGAAAATGCTCCGGAAAGTAATGGCATTTTACAGTTAAACCCAAGAGTGCAATACTAGAAGCTGTTGCTTTCTATTTCTTTGAATACTTCTGATGTTTTTTTAGCTGCTTGTAACATAAGGCCATTATTTCTGTTTATTGGGATCTCCGTGGTGAAGTGGTCAAGCTGTTTGACTCACACATGGAAGGTCAAGGGTTCATTTCACGGCTGCGTCATTTAGTTCATGAGTGAAATTTTCACCTCTCTTGATGACTTTAGCTTTCTATATATTGAAATCATCATTTCAATAGAATATTAAACACAGGTACACTCACAATTTTTAATTGCTTTTTAGTTGCTTGGTGCAGGTCTCTAGCGTTTCCCTAGAAAAAAGGTGTTATTTCTTTGTTAAAAAAACATGGTGTTATATTCATTAATTAACATTATCACCTGCAATGCTTTTGAACCCTTTATTTCCTATTTACTTGTTCCCTAGTCCCAATTGGCTATTTCCTGAAACCCCATTTCCCATGAAACTAAACTCTAGCCATTCTCCGCACAACTCGACAAATCTTTTGCCCCTCTTACATTGCATAGCATCAAGTATCCACAAATCCTCCTACCGTGTATTCTTTTGTAATTGGTTTCCCCTACCCTATGCTGTTTTATAGTTACTAGTCTTCTTTTCCATTTCATCATTATTTTCCTCTCAACCTCCTTCAGGCCTCCACACTTACAGTGAATAAAGTAGTTCTATTCACAACTTAGTATTTTTGCCTTTATTTTACCTGCACTTAAGAATCCCTACCTTTTCCTACCCTTATTTTGTAATTGATTTTCTCTACCCTATTGTTTTGTTGTAATTCCTGGTCGCCCTTTCTGTTTTCTCATTAATTTCCATAATACCCCCCTTTGACTCCCATGCTTACAGTGAGCATAGCAGCACTTGCGAAGCAGAGGTAAAAGGTGATGAGATCTTGCACGTGAACCTTTCCATCACTGCTAACAGTGATGTTGCTGATGAAAAAGATGTGAACCGTGACAGGTAATGTTTTTATTTTCGTCTATGTTTTATTAATTTGAAGTTAGCAGAAATAATTTAGTTTTTAAAAAATGTGTTTGCTGATTTAGAAAGCTTTAAAATTTTAGGGATGCACATACATTCATATACTAATATAGTTTTAACTTTCTTTACCATAGATATAATTTTTATGCCTTAGCAGACTAATTTAAATTTTGATTTTGCCAGGCTATTTTTAGCAACTTTTTTAAAAGCCTTTTTAATAAATAAATGCTTTGCTGATAGCTTACAGCTTTCCTGGCATATTCTTTTTTTAAAATCTTTTCCTGAACTGCAATCTGTCTAGGATACATAATTGTGAAATATTTGTTTTCCTCTGTTGTAACTCCTGGTAAATAATGGTGAAGGAACAGTAAAGTAAATGTCCTTTTTCCATGCCTTAAGGCCTATTGGGCATATAGGGCTACACCTGTATTTTGTAGACCAATCGGCACTTGGTGGGTGATGAGGTCATCATCACGCCAGTGGCCTTTACTTTCCAGTGCTTGTATCTGGTACCCAGATGATTAGTAAAACAGCATTAAACTGAATTGGCGCAGCTGTTCATCATGTTGTAATTTTGTAGATGACATTAGGGGTTATATTGTTGTGACAGTTACAGTTCAGTTGTAAGTGCATTAGGTCAGTTAAAAGAACAAAATATTTGCATCTTCCCGACAAGCTTCCTAACTGTTGCCCTACTGCAGATGTCTCAAGTCATCAACACTTGTCCAGCATTCCAAGCCCTTTAGGTTCATTGCTGCAGATATCACTTACCTCCACTCATTGGTTTGTGACAGAGTGAGATTTTACAAAAATGGTGATGTCAACCCCGGCTTCAGCCTACAAACATGGAGGACCAGGGTGTCTTTCTTTGTTCTCTGCCCTTTGAGCTGTCCAGCTTGGGAGGCCATGCTGGCGTATCTCTCAGGGTCATTAAGAAAAAGCTCCCCCGCCGCTGCAAGGTTTCAGGGGATACTCAGCAGTACAGCCTGTAAAATAAATTATAACACTAAAACCGATTCACCCACATTAAACGAACTACTATTTGCTGACGACCAGTGCTTGTTCTCCCCTAAAGAACATAGACTGCAAGACTACATCACCAGGTTAAACTCAGCATGCAGTAAATACAACATGAAGATCAATGTAAACAAAACCAAAACAATGCAAGTTAGTAGAACCCCTGCCCCACTACACATACAGCTGAATGGTTCTGCTCTGAATCATGTTAGGGAGTTTAAATATCTAGGAAGTATGATCACAGAAGATGGTAGAATTGACAGAGAAATAGAAACCAGATGCCAGAAAGCAAGTGCATTTTTATACAAATTGTCACCATTATTAAGACATCCAAGCATAACTATGAGTGCAAAGAGACAGATTATTAATAGCATATTCATTCCAACATTAAGCTACCAGTGCCAAACATGAACACTATCTAAAGCCCAAATACGTAAAATCACCACCTGCGAGATGAGGTGCCTGAGAAAAGCAGCCAACCTAACCATCCGAGATCGAGTGAATAATGAAACTATTAGGCAAATTGTACGAACGAAACCTTGTACTAGATTCATCGAGAAACAGCAGATTAAATGGTTTGGCCATCTTATTAGAATGCTATAAGATCAAATAACATCACAAGCACTACATCTCAGAAGATCAGCTACAAGAGCAAGAGGACAGCCGCGGAAAACATGGATCGACAACATTAAAGACACTCTACGCCTTCAGGGCATGACAATAGCCAGTAGCAGCCAACGTGCACTGGATCGCAAATTATACCTCCCCACGACGCTTAATGGCAGAAGTGGTTTATGATGATGATGAAAACAAAACATTCTTGTTTGCATTATATGTGCATGGAGGATGTTATGTTAGATTTAACAATTAACACAATACAGCTTTGTATGCTTTTATATTAAAGCTGATAAACATCAGACATTCTTTTAGAAACAATTGAACTGAGTACTTTCCGTTGACAGTTTTGTTTCTGAAGTGCCCCGGCCAAGAAAGGAACGCCAGTCCAAAAACTTGGATCATGCTATGAACAATGGGTATGTTTTATCTGGTTTAACTGTCTTTTTGTGTAATATCATTGTAGATGTTACACATACCAGTTGCCCTTTTCAGGGTACAGAATATCCTTTTATTAATCATCATTTCCATGGCATAAATTACCTTAAGACCTAATATTTCTAGGATAAGGTACAAATTATCCTGATGTCAATAATGTTTAACCTTACAGATGATACCTAGCTTTCAGTTTTACAAGATAGTACATCTTTATCTCACATTTTACTTTTATGCTGACAATATACTTTAGATCATCATATTATCATCTGAAGATAAAAGTGTTGTTTGTATTTAAGTAATATCCTAGATACACCAGTTTCTTGTAGTTTTCCTGGCATAAGATCAGCACTTCATGGATTGTAATTGAAATCCTAAAGGTTTGCGATACAAGGGCCCCATCTGCATTATAGTTGGAGAAATGAAGAAGAAGAACAAATTGACAAAAAACAGGTTTATAATGATAAAAAGTCTAATTAACAGCTGTTTTCTTTAAACATAATCAAGTTGACATTTGAAGGCGTACAAAGAAGAAAATGAATAAGAAACCATTATTATTGATCAGTGATGAATGTTAATGTTCAAAAGAAGTTAAAAGGAGGATTGCCATAGCAATGCAAAGAGTAAATGGCTTTAAAAATCGCTCGCTATGCACCAGCAAGCAAATCAGAGTTAAATTCTGAGTGCATGCATGTTTGCTTTAGCAACATACAGATGTGTTGTAGACCATCTTTCAATAATCAAGGAAGAAAATAGGAGCTTTTGTGCTGAAACAGAAATGCTGTTGAAGAATCATTAAAATATAACATCAACCAAGAAGAAAAGAAATATTGATGTCCTCAAAGACCTGCAGATTGGCTCAATGGCTCAAAAACAGCATTTTATTTTAGTATTTGAAATAATATGAAATATCACAGTGTGGCCTGGACAGAACAGTGTTGGAAAACATGGTACACAGTTGGAGGGGCAGGGGCCAACCAGCAAGAAGATGGGCGCAGGATGTAGAAAACACCTTGGCAGGAAAATGCATGAGGTGGGAGAGTTGGCAAGGATGAAGTTTCTTTCAGGTGGACTGTGAACGGAACGTCATTCTGTAAAGGACAGCTACATGATGATGACGATAAACGTCAGCACTGGAACATTGCACAGGTGTGTACAGTTTGACTCTCTCTTTGTTGTGTTTTTCTTTTCATTCCATGTGGTTGTTTATTGTCATTCCAGATATGATGGCCTCCCTCAGAAAACTAGTAGAACCAGCATAGGAAATGCCGACCCTAGCCGGTCCTCCAGAAACTCTTCCAATCAGGATGTCTCCCTGTCAGGAAGCATTGACCGCAAGGTGGGCCATGTCAACAACACAGGCGTTGTAAGCAAGAAAAGTTATTCAACCGATATAGATGAGCCAATCAGGCCTGAGACTAGACCACCATCTTCACGGAAATCCCCAGCCCCTCTGCCTGGATACAGCAGCATGGAGAGGAAGGTTCCTCGTTCCGTGTCATCCAGTCATAATGCAAGTTTTGATGTTGCTGAGCTTAGGCATCGGACTTCTAGCCAAAGCAGTGATGTCTTCTTGCCGTCCTTACAAACCAGAACTGTAGACTTCTCACAGGTATGTCATTTTTATATATAAACATAACTCATCTCTTCTGTATTTCTGGGTTCTTTGTTCTGCTCCTTATTTTTCCATGTTGTCAGTTCTGTGATACTTCCTGTGCTGTTTTTTTTTTTTTGGTTTTAAATTGAGCTGTACGTAGAAAACACAAGTTTAAAACAAAACAATTATTTGTAAACATGTATAGAGTATATGAGATACAAGGTTGAATTAATATGAATATAAAGGCTTTGTTTTAGATGAATGGATTCTGACAAACAAAAGATATATTAACTCTTTTCATCCCAGGCAAGCTCTTCTTCAGCTTCTTCTATAAATAAATATTTGTTGCCTAAAAAAATTAATGTTTAGGTCTAAAATTATTCAGATAATCAACATAAAGTTCAAGTAACACTTAGACTGATTTAATTCTACAGCTAGAAAAGGTTTTATAAGTTGATAACAATAGTCATACTAAAGAGCTTATTATAATAAGTAAATATTAGAATCATAAAAAAAAAAAATGAACTCTAAAATCTTACTATTCTTAGCATTTCTTGGATGTAGACTCTGGTAGGAAGTTCTGGTGTTCATCCACTTCTGGTTTTTCCCCATATTTGAATTCTGCTTGCACATCCATTTTACAGATTCATCTTACTTGTATGCAGGCTGTTGATCCCTAACAACTCAGGCAGATGTACTCCGACTTTTGGGGAAAAAATCCCTACTTAATCGCCTTTTGCAACATGGTTTTTAGGGAGGCAGTGGGTCTCTTCATATTTCCTCCCAAAACGGGGCTTCTGAGCCCACACAGGGAGGATGTCTTTTTCATATTTCGTAGTCAGTATTCACTGGCCTAGGGATCCGAAGGTTGGAATATCAAAACCTCATGGAGCCAGATTTTTTTCAAAACATAACCTTGGCTTCCAGATTGACCCAGCCATAAATGGGCAAAAGCTAACGAACTGGGAAGTGAAGGCTGCCAGTTGATGTTGATCACATCACTTACCGAGGATCGCTTGATTGGTCTGTAAAAATATGAGTAGAACCTCATATGCTGAATGCGCCACTGGCATGTAAAGGTACCTTTGCCTACTTACGATTGATATTGAAATTAGGTTTCCTTATTTTCTCCATTTAGACGATCAACCTCTAAAACAGTGGTTCTCAACCTTCCTAATGCTGCAACCCTTTAATACAGTGCCTCATGTTGTTGTGACCCCCAATCATAAAAATATTTTTGGTGCTTCTTTATAACTTCAGTGAATATTCGTTTTTTTAATGGTCTTAGGCGACACCCGTGAAAGGATCGTTCGACCCCTAAAGAGGTCACGACTCACAGGTTCAAAACCGCTGCTCTAAAACATTTGTTTTTTTTTCTTTAAACTACTGAACATAGGAAGTACCTAGTAAAACTACAAACAGCCACCTAATGCAGGGTTGGTGAATTCAAATGGCCTCTGTGCCAAGTCGGGGCGCTATAACCCTTTCCCCGGATAGGTGGAACCCATTAGCTTTGGACAGCAGTCTAGGAATATAAACCCCCAAGTTCAAGGTGGGCCAGCGTGCTGAGGAAATGGATGGCCAAGGGTGAGCTGGTCGTAAACATTGGACGTCTAGCTGGCGTGCAGGGCGGCACCAGGTGTATGGACTATGGGACATTCATTGCCCCTTTCCTAGCAGGCAGGCAATACTAGGGTGACCGAATATTTCCTGCAGCACTCTTTTTTCGCATATGGATTTTCAAAATATACATAGGAATCGTCGCCGGAGCTACTGAGCACGTTTTCTACGCCTGACACATTTTTCAGCAGTTCGTGAAGAGAGAGTGAGGAGGAGACGACGAGGGAATTAGGAGAGAAGAAGGCATAGAAATAGGAGGGCATGTGCTAGGAGAGCAAGACGAAAAACGGAGAGATTTGGCTTCAATCATGTAAGAGTAGGATACCGGAACTGTTGGAGTGCTAGGCAGAGAGGTCCTGCACTGGAGAGGTTGATTTTTTATATTGTTGTCATCATGCTCCAGGAACTAAATACAGACATATATTATTGCCCTGAGTACATCAGTTATACAAACCCTGTTGGACAGAAGAGACATGGACAAGGTCCAGTGGTAAAGGAAGGAGTGAAGCATATGTTGCTTGACTTGAGCCAGTGGAACCACAGTGGAAGAGAAGTTCAAGGGATACAGGTGGAGATTGGTGGTTTGAGTTGGAACATTGGTGGTTTGAGTTGGAACCACGTAAATATATATGCAACGGTAGACTGTTTTGTCAGAAGGGAACAATGGGGCTGGCTCAAGGAATTAGAGGAGATACCAGGTGATAGGTTACTTATATGTAGGGATTTCAACACGAGGAACAGTTTAGGACAGCAGTGGAGAAAACTGACGGAATTGCTCTTGCAGAAGCCATGGCTGAGTCCAATATGGTCTGCATCAATGATGGGAGGCTGACTAGAATGGCAATGAGGTCTAGTGATGCAGACACAGCCATTTGTCTCCCAGTCATCACTTTTAGATGTTAAATGGACTGTCCTGAATGACCATGGGAGTGATCACCTACCATGTTCAGTCTTGATTTCTAAACCCAGTAAGGGTAAGGTTGGGAGAGCACGCAAGACCTTCCAGGATAAGTGGACCAACAACCTACTTGGACGCCTTAGACAGGGAGCATGCAACAGAACTGCCAGAACTAATTTTCTACAGCCCCATGGTGGATTCCAGACAGGTGAAGAGAGCCGTAGTGAAGCAGCTAAAGAAAGTATGACAGACACCCTCAAGCTTACGAGAGGAATTCGAGATGGAGCAGTATGTGAAAGAAGATTAGGTGGAGGTTTTCAAGCACTGTGCTGCACAGGCCAAAAGAGCAAAAAGGGAATATTGTGTGAATGACACGGGAGGCGATAAAACATTGGGGAAATTCTGGAAACTGCAAAGGCAGATGCAAAGAAAATAGATTGGCCTATGACAGTCGGAATAATTTGTAGAGACGATGGTGTGCGTGTGACAACAGACAAGGAGAAAGGGGATGCTTTTCTCCATAGGTTTATGGCTCAGACAGATCATAATGAAGTAGACCTCAGAAATGTTAGAGAGGAGCTAGCTGGCACCTTTAAAAATATGCACTATGAAGACATGATACGGGTAGAAGCTTTCAAACAAATTTTGAAAAAGGCAAAAGACACTGCACCAGGGCCTGATGGGGTCAGGTATGGCCACATGAAGGCTTTGATCGATGTAGACTTGGCAGAGATGGCCGACCGTTTTAACTAGAGCATTAAGACAGCATCAGTACCGCAGGACTGGGTGCACAGCTATCTAATCCCATGTGGAGAGAGTTGTGACAAGATGCCAAAAAAGACTTAGTGCACTTTAGACTATGGCTGCAATTGACATAGAGCAGAGAATGCTTTTCACACTATATCAGCACCTGATCCTGTCAGTGGTTGATTATGGTCTAGGACTGCTTGCCGTCTCAAAGAGTCAGATGGACAAACTTATCGCATACAGAATGCAGCACTGGGGGTCATTTTGGGTTGCACCAGAAACACCCCAGTGGTGTGTATGCGATACATCCTTGGTTTGCCGACAGTTGCAGGTAGACACGAGGTGCTGCAGCGAATTCATATCTCAGGGGGTAACTGCAGACACAGACCACCCTTTGCATGAAGCTCTGGGTGCAGTTAAGGGTCAGCGGCTCATAAAAGGGAAGTCATGGATGGCTCAGGCAGAAGACACAATCAGACAGGTTTGCATCTTTGAGAACATTAGGCGAGGAGAGGAGTGGGTCAAAGTGCCACCTGAACAGTCAGACTTGTGTAGGGTCATAATCACACTGAGCCGGGAATGCAGAGACTAGCCACAGAAGATTTAATTTACACAAACCGTTCAGTGTCAAGAGGCAAAAGAAGTGCTTGGGGTTTCTTAATTAAAAAGTTAATGGTCAATGTATGGTGCAGGAGAGCCTAGCATATGATACCATAACATCCAGCTTAAGATTGGAGGTGGATGCGGTCACTGCAGCTTTCCTCTGGTAAGAGAACACGACACACACACGCATCATGATTGTAACTGACTCAGAAAGCATGCTGAGAAAGATCAGGACAGGCATGCTTCGCTGCAGAGTACATGGGTGAGGAGTATAGTCTGGATTTTTTCACCGGGCAGCACTGTGGTGTTGGGAAATGAACAGACTGGCTGGCTCTGCACAACTTGGTGGAATACTGATGCATGATAAGGCAGACTTGGTTAGTGCCTTGTGGGAGAGCGTGTACAGCTCAAACGAGCAGATGGATCACCACAGTCTTTTGAGATTGATGCAGGGGGGCATGACAAGAGTTTCTGGTAGATGCTTGAGGCTCAGAGGAAAGGCAAGACGGTTGTTTAATCAGAATGCTACTGGAACCATTAGTATCAGAACTCTTTGCTGGCTACTGAAGATGGGGACGGAGCGCTTATGGGAATGCCCTGAGTGCTGTGATGTTGGTTCTTGAATCAATTCAAATCAAATAACTGTCTTCTGTGTAGGTTCTAGTGTCTAGGGTTCTTCATATTCTTGTAATGCTCATTGCTAAAGGCTTCGGTTGTAACATTTGATTGTTTCTGTGTGTTATTTTCTCTTCCCTTCCCCATCTTGAGCTTCTGAGTTCAGTGGATTCATTTTATAATACTAGCTTGACTGGAGTCACCTGTTTACAAATCTGCAAAGAATTTGGCAGGAATTGGCTGAGAGACTAGGACTTCTTTGGGTGATGTAAGAAGCAGAAGAATATATTCCTTTGTTTAAAAAGAAGAACACCAAATAAACAAATTGATAGAAATTTTTTGATGTTTTTTTTTTGTTCATAAAAGAAAACACATTGTGGTGATAATGATGGGACATAAATGTGGCATTATCAAGAAGACTCAAGGACAACTAAAATTTTCTTTTTGCTGCTAAATCACCCCCACCCAAACAGTAAATTTTTTTTTTAAACTTCCGGCTTTGGTGTTCTATTAGCTTTGTTTTATCCTTTGT